CTAAGCCAAAAGTTTAAGAATACTGATCAATATGAAAGAGCCTATAGAATAATTGTTTGGGTTTTAGAATGTATAACAAGTGTGAATTTTATAAATTTTTAACTTATGATATTGTGTTTCGTCTCAGGGATATGAATCCAGAGCAGAATGTCACTGATGGCATTGAGAATGAAGAATGGATGGAGCTACCAATGATGAACCTTGAGCCTACTTCCACTGAGGGCTATGTAGTGAAGCAGGGAGGGTGCTACCTGCAGTAGCAGATCCTCTAGGAGGTGGCAACAACGTCATAATGAAGTCATTTGCTCAGATAATGGCAGTGATGACTCAGATGATCAAGAATTCCCAGACTCAGGCAAGTGGCAATAGGACTACTTCTATGGATAAGAACTTAAAAACTATTTTAAGATATGAAGCCTCCGTTGTTTTCAAGTGGTGAACCTTTAGAGGTTGAGAATTGGCTGATGAGAATAGAGAATATTTTGGAGGGTATGTCTTACCCTAGGGATAGGATGGTTACTCTCCCTGCTTATGCCTTTGATGGTGAGGCAGAAAGGTGGTGGGAGAGCCATCTACAAGAGACTTTTAGAGGGCGATCCAGCAGTCAAGTCTCTTGAGGAGAGTTTGTGAAGGTGTTCGGAGATTAGTTTATGTCCATGTTAGCTATGAGACAAATGCAAGATAAGTTCAACAAACTGGTTCAGGGAGATCGTTCTATTTTACAGTTTGAGGTAGAATTCACTATGTTGTCCAGATATGCCCCTCACCTGATACCAAATGCTTAAAAGAAGTGTCAAGACTTCTTTTCTGGACTGAAGGATATTATCAGAGAGCCTCTCATACCTTTTGGGATTGAAGATTATTATACTTTGGTGAAAAGAGCCAGAAGGATCGAGATGGACTTACAGGAGGCTCAGAGGATGAGTGACTTCCAGAAAAGAAAGATTGAGGGCATGCCAAAACCCACTCAGTCTGCTCAGTCTTCTCAGTCGGGAGTATCTACTTGAAAGAAACTCAGACCCAACAATTCTGACAATAGTGCTTCAGTTGCTATAGTATGTAGCAAGTGTGGAATGATGCATAAGCGAGAGTGCCTCTCTGGCACTAATATTTGCTACTGGTGCGATCATCTAGGACATATGGCATAGTTTTGCCCTCTTTAGGGACAGAAATCTACTATAGAGGTCAGGATAAGCAATAATACTTAGAGGATAGCTGGCAGGCCAAGAAATGTAGTCTGCAGCATCTGTTCCTTCTCAGGGTCAAACTCGTCAGAATTTCAACCTTGAGTCTATGGATTGTCCCAGCAAGAAACTAAGTGGTCTCCAGATGTTGTTACATGTATGTGATTTAATTAATTGCCAATGAAAATCATATATGATATGGATGAAAAAATGAATGTTATGTTTTATAATGAATGTTATTTTTTTATGTGATTATGAACAATCTTAATGTGTAACAAACCTATTAGAGTATTGTTTGATATTGGAGCGTCACACTCTTTTATTTCAGAGGAGTTTGTTAGATCTGCAAGTTTGCTTTCTACAATTTTGTTGAAACCGTTGTCAGTTCTAATGTCAAATTGAAATCAAATGAAAACCAATAAGAGATGTCATGTGGATTTGAGGATAGGTGATGAGAACTTAGAAGTAGATTTGACTGTTTTGTCATTGTTTGAATTTGATACAATCTTAGGCATGGATTGATTATCTTGCTCTTTTGTGACTATAGATTATAACAAGAAGAAGGTTAGATTTCAAATGTCAGGAATGAAGGAATTTAAATTTTAGGGAGATAGATGAATAACTATTATTATGGTTTCGTCCTTAAAGGCTTACCAATTGTTGAAGAAAGGACATGAAGGCTTCTTTACTATGTTAAGGTGGAGAAGAAGGTAGAAAGAGAGCTGAGTGATATTCCAGTTGTTCAGAAATATCCAAAAATGTTTGTAGATGATTTACCTGGCTTACCTCTAAGTAGGGAAATATATTTCTCTATTGAGTTGGCGAAAGAAGCTGAACCTGTTGCTAAAGAGCCCCGTACAGAATGACAATAAAAGAACTGAAGGAATTGAAAGATCAATTGCAAGAGTTGTTGGATAAGGGATTCATCAGGCCTAGTACCTCCCTTTGGGGTGCTCCTGTATTGTTCATGAAGAAGAAGGATGGAAGCTTAAGGTTTTGTATAGATTATAGAGAATTGAACAAGCTGACAGTGAAGAATAAATATCCTCTCCCAAGAATAGATGATCTGTTTCATCAATTGGAAGGTGCTTCAGTATTTTCAAAGATTGACTTGAGGTCAGGATATCATCAGCTCAAGATTCGAGAAGAAGATATAACAAAGACAACCTTCAATACCAAATATGGACATTATGAATTTGTGGTGATGCCTTTTGGTCTTACAAATGCCTCTGCTGTGTTTATGGAACTCATGAATATATAGAATCTTTAAGCTAATTTTAAATATATTCGTGATTGTGTTCATAGATGATATTCTGGTTTACTCTCCAAATGAAAACATGCATGCAAATCACTTAAGAGTTGTGTTACTGACATTGAGAGAAAATGAATTGTATGCTAAGTTCTCAAAGTGTGAATTTTGGCTGAAGAGTGTGAACTTTCTGGGGCATGTGATCAGTAATGGAATGATTTTTGTGGATTAGCATAAGGTGCAAGCAATAACAAATTGGCCTCGACCAGCTACAGTGATAGATGTCAGGAGCTTTTTGGGTTTAGTTGGATATTACAGAAGATTTGTTGAGGGGTTTCACAGATTGCTATGCCACTATTTAGTTTGAATCATAAAGCAGTGAAGTTTGAATGAACAACTCTGTGTGAAGATGTTTTTCAGAGGTTAAAACAGTATTTGATGACTGCTCCAGTGCTGACTATTCCTTCAGAGTCAGATGTATTTAAGCTCTATAGTGATGCCTCGCATAAAGGGTTGGGTTGTGTACTTATGCAGAATGGAAGAGTCATTGCCTATGCTTCTAGGAAATTGGAAAATCATAAAAGGAATTATCCAACCCATAATCTAGAGTTAGCAGTAGTGATTTTTGCCTTAAATATCTGGAGGCATTATTTGTATGGGGTAAGGTGCGAAGTTGTTACTGACCATCAGAGTTTGAAGTGTATTTTCACACAGAAAGAATTGAATTTAAGACAGATGATATGGCTAGAACTCATTGAGGTTTATGAGTTAAACATTCAGTATCATCCGGATAAAGCAAATGTGGTTGCAGATGCCTTAAGTGATTTTATGTTTTGATGTATTTGAGATATTTCAGTTTGGATGTTTAGTGACTCTTTCTTACATTGTTATTGGATGATATTTATGTCTTTTATGAAATGAAACTTTTATGATATTATAGTTATAAGAGTTCTTCGTACGACTGTCTGTTCCCGCCCTGTTATTTCGGGCTAGCTGGGCCGGATCATGACACTTGTCCTGAAAGTAATAAAGATTAGATGAGAAATTAGCATCAGAATTTTTTTTCTTGAGTGAGTTCGTTGATTAATTGTAAGTTTCAATCTAAGTTAGGCGCTATAAGCACAGTTAAGCATTAGATGTTTTGAGGGAATGACAACCTATTCTGACTACTTTTGAGAGTGACACATCTATAAAGGAACATTATAACTTTCATGGCATAAGCTGTAAACCTATTTTGACCACTTTTGAGAGTGGCCCATCGATAATGCGAGCATATGATTTTCAAGGCATAGGTTGTGATTGTGGAAGGCATTTTCGTCTTCTGACACTCCCAAGTTTACTATCCGAATAGTAGTTTTGTTCTTTTATGTAATGAACGCATTTAAGATTTTTTTTTTGAGTGACTAAATTTATTCAAATGATGTTTTGAAATAAGCTTGGACTGGTAGAATAGTTGGTTGTGATTTGTATTATTGTCTAGATGGCTGAAATAAGGAGAGAACACCTGATTTTTTTATTGGTTTTCTTTGGATTTTTTAGTTCAATATTTCATCTGGACTTTTCATTTTGAGGTCGATTTCTGGCGTTCGAGTTGTCGACTTCTTGACCACTTTTTTCTTCGTGTCAGCTTCCATTGTCTTCTTTTTAGGAGGATCCTTCACACATTCTTTTACAACTCTTGCTGGTGAAAGATTAGCTTTTAGGGTTGGTGAAAGACTCGTTGGCTCGGGGGAGAGCATGTTGAAGTTCATGTCAACTTCATAAGGAATAGAATTTTAATGTCTCTGGTATCATCTTAAAAAACAAAATTAGAGAGGAGAGCAAAAAAATTGTATGAATAAATTTAATTCCCTTGCGTAAAATTGACAAAAAGCTGTACAAATGGTGAAAGAAGCAACTATGTATGAAAGAAGCAATTATGGAAAATAATTCTTAATTGTGAAATCCTGAATTATCTACATAGTAGAAGTAGAAAGCTGCTGTTTATGAATTTTTCTAAATAGAAAGTTGTTTTCCGATTGATTTAGATGAAAAGTTACATGGATTTAGGATTATTTCAACAATTATCAATGTTGGAAAACTAATGAAGAAGTTATTTTGTGAAATTTTCGTTGATCTTCTATCAATATATTGGGGTTTTTTTGTGATGAGTTAATGCTTCTAGACTTTAAAATGAACTTCGATGAACTATTTAAGTTCAGTTCAACGGTAATTTGACTAATGCAGGGGAGTACAATAGAAAAATGGTGCTGATGCTTTTGGATGCCAAAGAATAAAAAATCTAAGTTGTGTTGGAGCTGAATGAGGGCTTGTTCTAATATTTGTGTCAATGCTCTTTGTATGCATATAATGAAATGTTTTTTTTTTCTTTTGAAGTTCAATCAACCCATTGAATATTTAGATATTTTGATTCTTTTCTTTGACTTCTCATTTGTTGATTGCGTGGCTACTAATTCAAACATTGAACTTGAGTTTCGTACATACCTAGTTGTTTTATGAATTGCTATTTTTCTCTTTTCCTTATGTTGATAGCTTCTCTTAATTTGTCTAATTCTTGGATTTGTTAGATATCATGGTTCAGATTTATCTGAAGGTTGCTACTCTGGTGGAACTGAAAGATCACATGCCCAGCTAATTCAATCTGATAAACGTAGCAGCTCTGACGATGATGAGCAAAGGGCACACGGAAAGCACTCACAACAAAAGCATAATAGTCCTCGTCGGAGGCCAAGTTATGAAGGTGATAAGCTTCATTTGGTCAATGAGAAGCATAAGGAGCCTCATCTTTTCGCTTGTGGAATGGACCAGAGAAGTTATTTTTCTGAAAAATCAAAATCTGATTTACAAGATGTATCTAATGACTCTAGAAGGCATAACGGAGAGAGAAGAAGCCACCAGCATAAATGTTCTAAGCACAGTGGGAGTGATTGCAGCTGGAAAAAGCATCATAGCAGCCGGTTGCATGAAGATGATGAGTTTGTAACACATCTTAAAAGCCATCGCTGCGAACAATATAATCAATCAGAATCTTGCTTGGAACCTGAATCCTCCACTGACCATCGAAAACTCCACAAAGAACGAGAGTCTAGTCACAGGTTCAGGCACTCTAGTAGAATAATCAAGTCTAGAGATGAGCGGCTTGATAATGACAGAAGGGAGATGGGTAAAGTCTGGAAGAAAAGAGAGAGAGATCATGGCTACAAGGAAAGTAGAGATCATGGCTACAAGGAAAGTAGGAGAATCCGTTGAAAATTCTTAATATTTATTAGTTTTTTGGTTAGTGGATGTGGATATATTCCAGGAGTCATACAATGCTGCAGCCATAGGAATTATGTCATCAGAGGTAAACATATATATTTTGACCAGTTAATACGTTTCTATGGTGGCTAAGTTTGTACCTATTCTGTTCGCAAAGTTCTAAAGTTAGATATATGTACAGAAATATGAACATCAGCTACTATGATTTTTCTTACATTAATTCCTATGATTTTTTGACTAGTCTGTCGTGTGTTTGGTAGCATAGACTAGGTCCACTACAGTGAATTTTTTATCTGTTGCTACAGATTTTATGGTGGTTAAAAATGGAGTTTGAAGCTAACCTTCTCTTATGTTTAGAGTTCTAGCGTTCTTTCCCTTGATAGTTTTGAAGTCTTGGGAGGTTCATAAGAGCACACACTTACGTGGAGCTTAGAAGATATTGACATGATATTGTCAAATGTCGTTCTTGGTGTGGCGGAATCCATATGTTTGCTTAGGTATGATTTCTTTGAGTTTTCATTTGTGTATTTACATCATATTTTTACTAATAAAAATTGTGATATTTACTTTATGATTTCTATTAATCCTGGTTTTCTTAAATAGTTTTTTTAATGCATGAATAAATTTAATATTTTTGGGTCATCAATAATTGTAATCTTCTGGTTGTTAAGGATTTCCTTGAACATATTCTTTGTGCTGCTAGAAGGGCTTGGAATGTCATCTAAGATTAATTTTTGGTATGTGTTTCTACCAACGAATGGGTTTATAAAGTGGATGTAAGAACCGGCTTGGATGGTTCAGTTGAACCGACCCTAATTAAAAAGTTGGCGAGCTAGGCACAGGCAAATGACTGAGCGATCACGCAGATGAGCTTGTGAACGATTGAAATAGCAATTTAGCGAACCAATGTGATTAATTGAAAATAGGCGACTCCTCACGAAGAATAATTCCATTCGCTTTGTCTTGTATCTCTAAATGAGAGAAATTGAGAGAGGAGGTAGTGATCGGGAGGAAGAAGAAGCAAGGTTTCTTCGTTGATTTTTATTTATGTGATTTTAACCTAAGAAGATATCAATGTTTTATTTAAAGGCAAAAGAAGGAAAGTGGTTCAACGAAGGATTCTAAATCAATTGAGAAGAGGTGAAAGAATTTTGTGAAATTCTTTTGATTAAAGAGGAAGAGGAAGTAAGTTGCTTTAATTTTCATTTTTGTTCTATTTAAATTTAGGAAGGAAATAAATGTGAAATTTTTAGTTCTGGTTGAAATAGTGGTATATGATTATTTAATAGAAAGGAAGTTCGTTGGTGAAAATCTTGACTTAGAAATAAAAAGAACTTTTCAGATAAATTACAAAAATTTTAAATATAATGTTTGATTATTTTCAAAGAGTTAGCAATTTAATTTGATAAATGGGAGTGTCCAATGTTATAATTAGTAATATTTAATATTATTTTGGATAGTGGAAGTCTGCAAAAGGTTCTTGAAGGAAGTTAACTATTGTATTAAGGAGGATTATTTCAAAGAATAAGGATTTGGAAAGGATTTGAACACAAAATAATCAAAGTGGGTAATTATTATTATTTTTTAGTTCTTCTAGTTTTCTATCATATTATTGCAGTTATTTAGTTATTGCAATTATTTAATATCGTGACATATATGTTGATTGAATGTTTTAATGTATAAGATGAATCAAATTAATGATAAGCAAAGTAAGTGATTATATTTGTTTTACGGTAATTTCACTTTTCCTGTTTCTTCGTTACATTGATGAACATTGTATTATGTATATTTACTTACTACATATAATACAATTTATATATTTACTATGCATCAAATTGAGAAATAGTAATTAATAGTGACAATGTTATATATATACATATATATATATATATATATATATATATATATATAAGAGAGAAAAATACATATATAGATTAATATGTAAGTAATGAGAAGTGAAGTGAATAAAATGAAACATAAAAATGTAAATGAAAGTATAAAAGAAGGAAAAGGTGCATGAATGCAAATAGAGGAGTTCATGAAATGTTATGTATATGTTAACTGTACAAGATAGACAAAGAAACATGATTATTTTTATGTATGTTTAGCTATTATACTACAAGCTGTGATTATCTATTGAGTTTATTATGTAAACTCAAACTATTAAAATAAAATTTCAGGTACATCTTTTGAGAAATAAATGATTGAAAGAGAGAAATTTGTCTTAAAAAAAAAGAGATCAAATGAAAATAGGTATGAGCTGGTTTATATATATGTTAAATTTGTAAATTTGTTTTAGTGTCTCTTTAGTTATATGTTTGTTGTTAGTTTTTTAAGTGTTTTATGATATTAAAAGAAATATATTAACCGTCCGTCTATCTGTTTATGTCTCGTTAAATTGAGTTTCCGGACTTGGTTGTGACAAAATTGGTATCAGAGCCCTCAAATAGGATATGAATCGTACTGAAAGAGTCATTAGGTTAATATTGATTTTAAAATATTTTATATGATATAAAATTATGAATTTTATAAGATATTTTACTTTATTTTAGTACTTAGAATGATCCTGAAGAAGATATGGAAGGGTTTGTACTGAGTATTGTTGTTAAATATGATGCATTGGCTCAAATGATGATAATAATTGACTTAATTGATTCATGATTCAAGATCTCAATTGATTAAGAATTTGCAGTAGCAATAGCAGTAGCATGTTAATGGATTAGTATTTGACATTATTTCATGATGTAAGACCACTATTGTTTGAAGTAATATAACCAATTGAAACAAAAAATTGATCAGTACGGATTGAGAATATATTAGAGGGGATGTTCTGCCTAGACGAAAGCAAGGTTTCATTGGTGACATTTGCTTGATGGCGTTAGCACCAGGATAAATTTGGATGGATACCTAGTATCTAGATCAAATGGGATGAGTTTACTCAAGTGTTCAGAGTTTGGTTTGTGCTCTTTCTATAAGGAGGTAAATGCAAGATAAATTTTTTAGGCTGATGCAAAGAGACAAATCAACAATACAGTATGAAGTTGAATTCATCACCTTATCAAGATACACTCCTCAATTTGTTCATACTGCAGAAGAAAAATATTATTGATTTTTATCTTGGTTAAAAGATGTAATCAAAAAGCCTTTTGTTTCTCTAGGGATTGATCATTATTCTTTTTTTGTGAAGAGAGTTAGAAGGATTTAGATGGATATTTAAAATACCCAAAGGAGGTGTGAATTTCAGAAAAAGGAAAAATGTAGATGTTGTTGGAGCTTCATAGGATTCTCAAGCTAGATCTTTTTTACAATCTGGAATGTTTAATTGGAAGAAGGCAAAACCTACTAGCAATAATAGTCAAATGAGCCTGAACAACTGCAACAAGTGTGATAAGTAGCACAAGGGTGAATGTTTTTCTGGAATCAATACTTGCTTCTGGTGCCATTAATTTAGCCAAGATTTGTCTTACTCTTGAGCAAAGACCATCAAGAGAATCAAGGATGAATGTTAGATCCTCTCAGAGAAATATTGGCAGATCGAGGGTGATAGTATCAGTTGCTTCCATTCCGAGGCCAAATCAAAGTCGACAAAATGCTCAGCTTATGGTATATGCATTATCTCAATAGCATGCTAAGGATTCACCTAAAGTGATGATAGATGTTTTTTTTATTTAATTTATGATAATTTTATTTACTTGTATGATTAATCAATAATATAAAAATAGTTAAAAGAAAAAGATTTATATATATATATATATATGTTAATTATTATAAATTTTATTGTATGATAACAATTAAAGATATACCTGTACAAATTCTCTTTGATACAGGAGCCTCACATTCCTTCATCTCAGAAGAATTTATAAAATTCGTTGGATTAAATATTTACGAAGCACCCATCATTTTAGAAGTTTTGATGCCAAATGAGTCTAAAATGAATGTTAATAGTTTATGTCAAGTTGATTTCAAAATAAATGAGAGAAAATTTTAAGCAACTCTAAATGTGTTACCGTTGCATGAATTTGCTGTAATCTTGGGAATAGATAGACTATCAAATCACTTTGTAATCATAGACTGCAATAAGAAGATTGTTAAATTTTCAGGTGAAAAAAATAGAAATTTTATGGAGATAGAGGAATTACTTCAATGGTGATAACTTATATGAATATCAGGGTTTGTTCAAGTAAGAGATACAAAGAAAGAAGTTAAAGAGTTGAAAGACATACTTATAATGAAAGTATCTAGAGGTGTTTCTAGATGATCTGCCAGGGTTTATCATTCAAGAGATAGAATTCACTATCAATTTATTACCAGGTTCATAATAAGTAGCAAAAGTACTTATAGAATAACATTAAGGAATTCTAAGAGTTAAAAAGTCAATTGCATGAATTATTAGATAACAGGTCAAGTTCCTCGCCTTGGGAAGCTCTAGTGTTATTTGTAAAGAATAATTCTTTGCCTTGGGAAGCTCGTGTTATTTGTAAAGAATAAAGATGAGAGTTTCAAAATGTGTATTAATTACAGAAAATTAAATAAGCTCGCAGTTAAAAATAAGTATCAATTACTTAGAATTAATGACTTATTTGATCAGCTTGAGGGAGCTACAGTTTTTTTTTTAAAGATTAACTTGCATTATGGATATCATCAGTTGCATATTAAAGAAGAGAATATTGTTAAAACTACTTTTAGAATAAGATATAACCCATATGAATTGTTAGTGATGTAAGCAATATTTATGGATCTAATGAACATAATTTTCAAACCCTTCTTGGAAATTTTTGTGATCGTATTTATAGATATTATTTTGAGTTATTCAAGAAATAAAGACAACCATTCCAATCATCTGCATGCAGTGTTGCAAACACTCAAGGAGAATAAACTATATGCCAAATTCTCAAAATGTGAATTCTGGTTGAAATGTTTTAATTTTCTTGGGCATGTGATTAGCAATGAAGATATTTCAGTTGATTAGAAAAAAATCAAAGCTATTACAAAATTGGCTAAGGCCGACTATAATTTCAGAAGTGAGGAATTGTTTAGGTCTTATTGGTTATTACAGGAGATTTGTGAAGGGATTTTCTTAGATTGTAATGCTATTGTTAAGATCAATATAAAAGATAATAAAATTTGAATGAAATAATTAGTATGAAAAAGTTTTTCAGAAATTGAATAATTGTTGTTCAAATTGTTGATAATTTAAGAGAAAACATATTACAGGAAGCTCACTTCTCTAGTTATATAATTCATTCAGGTAGTAATAAAATGTATCAAAAACTTATAGAGGATTATTCTGGTGGCTAGGATTAAAAAGACGTCTTGCAGAATTTATGATAAAATATATTCCATATCAAATAATTAAAGATGAGCATCAAAAGTCAAGTGGTCAATTGCAATCTTTACCAGTACCTGAGTGTTAATGGGTTAAAATTACAATAGATTTTGTAATTGGATTACCCAAATCAAGACAAGAGTCGGGATGCTATTTGGGTTGTTGATCGATTAACAAAGTTCTCCTATTTCTTGCCAATCAAACAAATATATTCAATAGAAATATTTGCAAAGAGATATGTTGATGAAATTGTAAAATTGTATAGTGTTTCAAAATCTAGTCTCTGACAAAGATTCTTGATTCACCTCTAGATTGTGGAAAAAATTGAGGAAGCATTAGGTACTAAATTAACTTTTAGCACTGCATTTCACTCTCATACATATGTGCAATAAAAAAGGACTATTCAAACTTTGGAGGACTTAGATTATGTGTACTAAATTTTGGTGAAAATTGGGAGATTCATCTACCTTTAATAGAATTTGTTTATAATATCAGTTTTCAATTCAACATCGGAATGACACCATATGAAGTTCTTTATGGAAGAAATTGTAAAACACCTTTGATTGAAATAGGTGAAAGAAAAGTAATTGATGTTGAACTGGTAGATGATGCTACTAATAAGATTAGATTGAAAACAATACACGATAGACAACGAAAATATTATAATGTAAATCACAGGCTGGTTAAATTTGAAGTTGGTGAATTTGTTTTTATTGAAATAGTTCAATGGAAGGTGTGCAATATTTTGGAAAGACAGGAAAATTGAGTTCATGATTTGTTAGACTATTTGAAATCATTTAAAAGATTGTAAATATGGCTTACAGATTAGATCTTCTGGTGCACATACAAGGGATGCATAATGTTTTTCATATATCTGTGCTTTGAAAATATATTTCAAACGAATCGAAAAGAATTTGTCAAGATCAATTGAACTCCAACCTGATTTGAAATATATAGAGAAGCCTGAAAGAGTATTGGAATATGATGTGAAACAACTGAGGAATAGTTTATCACTTTTCATTTAAATTTCGAGGACGAATTTTTTTATAAGAATGGAGATTATAAGAACCGGCTTGGCCAATTAAAAAGCTGGCGAGCTAGAGCACAGGTGAATGGCCGAGCGAGCACGTAGACGAGCTTGCGAGCGATCGAACAAGCAATTGAGCAAACCAATGTGATCGTAATCGAAAATAGGCGACTTCTCACGAAGGATAATTCTATTTGCTCCGTCCAGTGTCGCTAAATGAGAGAAATTGAGAAAGGAGGCATTGATTGAGAGGAAGAAGAAGAAGGAAGGTTTGTTGGTTGATATTTGTTTATGTGAAATTATTCTACGATTTTAACCTAAGAGGAGATCAATATTTTATTTAAAGGAAAAAGAAGGAAATTGGTTCAACAAAGGATTCCAAATCAATTGGGAGGAGTTGAAAGAATTTTACGAAATTCTTTTGATATTAAGGAGGAAGAGGAAATACGTTGCTTTAATCTTCATTTTTATCCTATTTAAATTTAGAAAGAAAATAAATTTAGAATTTTCTGTTCTTATTGAAATAGTGGTCTATGATTATTTAGTAGAAAGAAAATTCGTTTGTTAAAATCTTGACTTAGCAAAAAAAAGAACTTTTCAGGTAAATTACGAAAACTATTCAAATATAATGTTTAATTATTTTCAAGGTGTTAGAAATTTGAATTGATAAAGAGGAGTGTCCAATGTTATATTTAGTGATATTTATGCTTTATTTGGGACGACTTTTTTGTCGCTTCTTAAAGCAGCTTTCTAGTATAAAAATTTTAAATTTCTAACTAAAAAGTTGCTTTAAGAAGCAACAAAAATACTGTCCTTAACGAAGCCTTAATGTTATTTTGGATAGTGGAAGTTTGTGTGTGTTTGTGTGTGTGAAAAATGCATATGTTGATTAATATGTAAGTAATGAAAAATGAAATGAATAAAATGCAAATGAAAATATTAAAAGAAGGAAAAGATACATGAATGCAAATAGAGAAGTTCACTCCCATATGGTACTAGTTGGGGATGTATTGTACTCATGCACATTAATTGAAAATGGAAATGTTTGTACATTCATTGGTTCAAGATTTTAGATGGTACTTCTATTCTAAATGAATAAATAAAAATGGAAAATAAATAAATGAAATAGATAAAGAAATGAGTTACAAAAAGAAGGAATATAATAAGAATCTATGAAATGTAATGTATATGTTAATTTTACAAGGAAGATAAAGGAACATGATTGTTTTTATGTATGTTTAATTGTTATACTACAAGCTGTGATTATTCACTAAGTTTACTATATAAATTCAAATTGTTAAACTGAAATTTTAGATAAATCTTCTAAGAAATAAATGGTTGAAAGAGAAAAATATGTTTACAGAAGAAGAAAATTAAATGAAAATAGGTATGAAGTAGTTTTTGTATATGTTCAATTTATAAATTTGTTTTAGTGACTCTTCAGTTATTTGTTGGATGTTAGTTTGTTAAGTGTTTTATGCTATTGAAAGAAATATATTATTTGTCCGACCGATTGTTCTCGTCTTTTTAATTTGAGTTTCCGGGCCAGGTCGTTACAGTGAAATCCAAATAGTTGGAATAAGACTACTCATTATTATGATGATTTTCATAATTAATGTTATTTTATAATTATTTTAGTTCTTGTGCCTTATTTTCTCATAAACCTATAGATACTTCTGTTTAGTAAATTTTCATGAAGCCTTGTGTCACCTGGTAAAGTATAGACTTCCTTAATCTTTCCAGGCCTGTTCCGTTTTTCACTGGAGTTAGATCCAGGTTTATGGGTCTTAACTTCCATGCGGCTTACTGAATTTATACCCAGGCAATGTGGCCCAGCTGGTAGACTGAGCCAGTTCCGATTTTGGTAGCCATTGAACTGTCAGTCTAGTTAACCTGATTCTTAGTGAAGCCGGACAACATGATCTTGAATCACTTAAGAGGCCTGCAAATAAAAGTTCCCAGCTTTTTTGTTAATAGATTAATAAATGCACATATGTGTGATGCTAGCTGCATAGCTTAAGCTTGACATATCTTTAGAATGACCATCCTTGTGACAATCATCCGGGAAATGTGGCATTGTAGTGGTAGAAACCTATAGTTAACTCTTCATACAGTCAATTGTTTTATTGAAGGGGTAATGGCGAAGCTGTATTGCTCTTTTAATGGAGTGGATGATACATTTGATTTGTTTCAATCATTCCTGATGCAACTCAGTTATGTTTGTTATTAGACGAAAGCTTCAGAATTCCTTCAGTTGTTCTTCGGTGTGTATGAATATTATTAATATAGTTGGGGATTATATTTCACTGGAAGGTTTAGTTAGGGAATTTGTTTAGTTTCCGTTAAACTAATATTTGGTTTCTTTTGCAGTAAAACATGAAATTCATGATTTCAAGATTTTTGGTGTTCAAATATATATATATATATATATACTAGTAATCGTTGGTGTTCTAACAATTGTCTTCTTTACAGGTTCCAATGTGTTTATTTATTTGCAGGTCAGCGGCAGGCAAGCAACTTCATGACCAAATGGTCGCTGTATATGCAGCTGAAATTTATCACAGTTTCATAGGCTTCATAACTAAGAGAAATAATTCAGTTGCTGAGAAAGAGTGGATCAGGATTTTCTGACCAAAATTTGGTCAGGTAGATTTAATACCTTTAGATTTACTTTGAGTTCAGTGTACTAAATGAATTGATTAATTATTCATATATTATACTCATTTTAAAATAAATTTAATATTTTAAAATTCATCTGAATGAAGATATCCTTACCCAATTATTTTCTTTGCCCAGTAGGCCAGGGAACTGCTGCTCCAAAATCCTTCGCTATAATTTTGGTGGTTTGGACTATAAATTTTCGAACATGGCATTCCAATATTCCATGCAGGTATTAGCTGGGGCCTTTACTAGTGGCATTCTTCCCATCCCTTCAGAAGCTAATATTTCATGTTCTAAACTGCTTAAAAATTTTAAGGATGTTATATTTTATGCAAATATAAAACTTTGAAATTAGGTAATTGATGTGAAACCAACATGAATTGCAAGGAAATAATAAAATTATTGTAAGCTTGCTACTTTAAGATTAATGAGTCACAAGAATTAATTTTAGGAATTATCCATTGACGTTTTGTGTTGGCATGCAATTCAATGTTAGGAGAACAAAACAACATAAAATAATATCAGAAAATATTGTGGGTTAATATTTAGAGCTTTTAATCTAGAGTTTCCCTTCTCACTCACACTCTATGAGAGGCTTTAGCGGAGAGATATCTTTATCACACCAAACGATGCCGCTAAGAAAGTTACGACGCCGATGGTCTTGATCCACGGGAAGGTAGCCGGAGAAGGAGGTGCAGGTGGACGTTCAACAAGTTGCCACTGTCCGGATGGTCGTTGTTCGTCGATTGTCTCGACGAGATGAAATAGTATGCGGTCTACAAAGTCTTCGACGAAATCTTCAAACTCTCAGTCAGGGTCAAAGAAGGGCGATTGAAGGATATCAATTTGTCCTTGAGAATTGTATGCAAATTCGTGGTAGAATTCATGACCGGCCATCCATGAATATGGGAGTCTTCTTTATTGTGAACCTTGGATTCTTTGAAGGCCGGCGACTTGTGCAGGAGGGAGGGAGGAGTGGGGAGCCGGCGGCTTGGTGGGTTCGAATAGAGAAGGGGACGACTAGGGTTAGGGAGGGTGCTTAGGATCTTTAGGTTAATTCCCAAGGAAGGTAATCAATCCAAAGGATTAATGAGAGTGGAGGGAAATTAGGATTCAAATTTGAATCCTAAATTAGGGCAAGGGGAGGGCAGGGCTGGCAGCATGCATGGGGAAGGAGGAGATTGGGGGGAAATTAAATGCCTCCTAATTCATTATCTTAAATTAGGAATCAATTAATGGGATCAAATTTAATTTAAAATTAAATTAGACTTAAATTTAGGTATTTTCCTAAGTTAGATGGGTTAGTTTAGGAAAGTATTTGAAAATTCAAATTTTAATTTCAAATAGGATTAAAATCTTTCCCAAATTGATTTGGCTATTTTAGGCAAGCAATAATGATGATTGAAATCATCATCAAGAAGGTCCAAAGGAAGGGACAGTGGCTAGGGTTCGGGTAGGGTGAACAAGGGGCCGGATTTGGGAGGCCTAGGCCAGCACTATGGTGGGAGTAGGGAGAGGAGCTGACGGGTGAGGGGGAAGATGGGGTGGTGATCGGCAGTTGGAGTACGGGGAGGGGATAGCCGGCGGCTTGGCACAAAGGGGAGGGGACGACCAGCGATCTGAAGCAAGGGGAAAGTCGGACCACGAGCCCGGAGCACCTCCGCGACTGATGGGTATTACTTTGCCCACACCTTGGGATTTTGCCGCTCTATGGTCTTCTAATAACCATTGCTCGATTATGGTCCTCCGATCACCTTCTCCCGACTATATTCCTTCCTACATTCACTGTCACCTGACTAGAGTTATTGGACCACATCACCCCACTACGACCATCTTATTATCATTGCCTGATTTTTATTCTCCTACCACCATCAACTGACCTTGTTCCTCCGACCATTATCATTCGACTATAGTCTATAATCTTATGGGTACCCTGATACTTGTTAACTTTGTTGTATCCCATTGCTAATAATATCGACACGTGCTATCTCCTATCTTGAAAGTTAAGTGCACGCTGTCAATAGTAAATCTTATGTCTGATGTCAGCCCTATGATTTATATAGGGTTTCTTGGTCTCTATTCTCCCATCCTCAAAGGAGAACGACCAAATAGACAATAAGATTTACTATTGACTTGTGATTCAAGAGAATTCAGAGGCTCTAAGAATCCTAGAGCTCCACTAGTGCACCACAGGTGTGTTACCATCCGATCGTTGTCATTGGAACATTGCCTAACAGACGACCATCTAACTATCATTATTGCACTATTGTCGTTCGAATATGCTCCTCCGATCACAGTCGATTAACTACATTCGTTAGACTACGATCTCTTGATTGCAGCACTTTGACCTTCCTTGTTGAACTACGTTCCTCCAATCATTGTCAACCAACTAAGATCCTTCGATCATCATTAACTAACTATGGTCATTCAACCACTATCGACCAACTACGATCCTTGTATGTCTGCCACCCATCTATGGTTTTCTAATGTCCATTGCTCGACTCCTGTCCTATGATCCCCTTCGCCTGACTACATTCCTTCTGAGAACTACTTCCGCCCAATTAGAGTTATTAGACCACATCACCCGACTACGGCCATCTGATCATCGTTGCTTGATTATGGTTCCCCTACCATCATCATTCGACTTTGTTCTACCAACCATTATCGTTCGACTATAGTCTATAATATTATGAGTAACCTAATGCCTGCTAAATTTGTCTTCTTTTATTGCCAATAATATCGACATGTGCTATCTCTTACCTTGAATGGTCGGTACATACTGTCAATAATATACCTGGCTTCTGATGTCAACACCAAGATTTATATAGGATTTTTTGATCTCTAGTCTCCTCTCCTCAAAGGAGAACGACAAAACAAACAACAAGATTTATAGGGTCTAGAATCCTAGAGCTCCACTTGAGCATCACTTTTGTACCAGTGCCCGATCGTTGTCATCAGAAAATCGCTTGACAAACTTCCATCTAACTACTGTTGTTGCACCACCGTCGCCCGAATATGGCCCTCTGATCAGAGTAGATTGAGTACAGGTTTTAGACCACCATCTCTTGACGGCAACCCTCTGACATTCGTTGCCCAATTATGATCCTCTGATAATCATTAACTAACTATAGTCCTCCAACCACTATCGACCAACTATGATCCTAGTATAATCGTCACCCATCCATGGTCTTTTAATGACCATTGCTTGACTACGGTCCTCCGATCACCTTCCCCTGACTACATTCCTTCCGACAACCATTGCTGCTCGACTAGAATTATTGGAGCACATCACCCGACTAAGTCCATCTGATCATTGTTGTCTGATTATGGTTTTCCTACCACCATCATCTGACCATTGTATTATGACAATCATCGTTTGACTATAGTCTATAATCTTATGAGTACCCTGATGCCTACTGACTTTGTCGTCTACCATTGCCAATAATATCGACACGTGCTATCGCCTACCTTGAAAGGTTGATGCATGCTGTCTTACTTATGATGTTAGCTCCAAGATTTGATATAGGGTTTCTTGCTCTCTAGTCTCCACTCAAAAGGAGAACAACCAAACAGACAACAATATTTACTATTGACTTGAGATTAAAGATAACTCAGACACTCTAAAAACTTGAGATTTACTATAATGATGTAGGACTACATGCAATAGCAAATGTAAGCAATTGAAAATTTACACAAACAAGAATAGAGCTTTGCAATTAATCAATTTCTTGCGTTTCTTAACAAAGTTTAAGCAAACAATTTGGTGATTAAGCTCAGACAATTAACTACACAAGAAAAGTTTAGAATCATAAAAATAATCATAGCAAATTATATTATGCGAATGTAGGGTTTTTAAAAGAAATCCCTCATTTAACAAGGCAAATAGTCACTATAGGAATCCCCTCACTTAAACTCTTACTTTGGGTTATGCGGATAGATCTTCATGATTAAACGATGCCAAGATTGATGGAGGATTAAAAGGTGTGAGGAAGGGAGAGTTTACCCAAAAATAGGAGATGCGAGATAACGGCGACGATGTGTGATCGCTTCTGAAGGAAGGGCAGTAGTGCGAGGTTTTCTCTCAAATTCAAACAACAAGCTGGCATCTCCAGAGAGTTTGGGCAGCACTCTGATGTCTGGAGAAATTCTGGAGAGCAATTTTGTAGGTCTTGGCAACCTTGGACAGCAAGAAATTGAGGAGTTAAGGATTACTTTATGGCAAGTTTCAAAAGAGAGAAGAGGGAAGGAGTAGGGCCAGCGTCTAGCATGGGCATGGGGGGTTTGATTCGAGGAGTTAAGGATTATTTTATTTGAAACTTAAAATAGGAAAGGGTATTTAAATAAGCTCCTATTTAAATTCAAATAAAACATGATTTGAGGGACTTTCCTAAATTAAATCATCCTATTTTAGGAAAGGAAATTTAAATTCAAATAGATTGGAATCTGAATTTAAAATCCTTCCTAATTTCAAATGAGTTATAAACGGAAAGTATCAAATTGGAATTTGAAATTTGGAGGCAAAGGAAGGGTTGATGTGGCCGGTGGCTAGGAGGATGGGTAGGGTTTTAGGGCCGGTGGCTAGGAGGGGTTGGGGGCTTGGCCGGCGGCTATAGGAGGAGGGAAGGGGAACTTGGGGCCGGTGGTTAGGAAGGGGAGAGGGGGGATTTAGGCCAGCGGCTAGGAGGAGAGGGAGGCCGATGGCTTGGAGAAAGGGGAAGGGAGCCGGCGGCTAGGGAAGAGGGCAAGGAGAAGTTGGAGAAGAGAAGGACCACTAGCCCGGACGCTTCCTACGACTGATGGGTAATGCTATGCCCTAAGGGACTTCACCAAAGTTCTCACAAGTACTCTCAAAACTCACAAAGAAAAAAGTGTTGAAATTTCATAATAATGATTATCCTCTCAATGGAGGTGAAAGGGCTATTATAGCCCTTTCTACAATAACATTATAAAGACCAAAGTATCCCTTGGGGTTAAATAAGCCTACTCCCTCAAGTGAGGGTAAAAACGGAAAAGGTACATAAATAAAATCAAATACAAATAATAGATCAAAAATAAAGTGGTCTAATTGTGGCTGTCGATCTCCAATTCCTTCTCTGATAAACTTTCCGCAGCCGGATGTCCTCATCATATAATATATAATTATTGGAGTGTAAATTAGTAAATTATATTGGCATTTCTTACATTATATACATCTGACTATTGAGCAGTAAATATTTCAATAGTAATTAAGATGAGAGTGGTAGAAATAAAGTGTTAAAAATGTGATAAATTTGAAATAATAGACTAGATAGGAGGTTTGAAAATAAATTAGGTTCGTGCTTCAGGCATTTATGGTTGCGTGTAAACCCGATTCGATAAAACCCCTATAGAAGAATTAAAAGAATATGCAGTATGGCGGATTATAAATATTGACGAATGAACATGTATGGAATTTGCACTATAGAACTGTATTAAATATACATAACAGGTCATGTATTAGTCAACAAAAATGAATAGAATACTGAATGAAGGGTTCAATGAGCTGGACCTTAAATTTCTTGTTAAGGAATCTCAGTATCATGATGTGCTCGAGAATAAGGCATAAATCTTATTTATTATTGTTGCATTAGAAAAATTACAAAAGGTGGCTTCGAGACCTTCGATTTACTTTAATCAACATGTTGATATTTTGAATTGCATTTTCATATCGGTGATAGTTATTAACTTTTAGCAGCACTCTTAACTCAGATTGTAAGCTTTTATGCTATCTTTCATTATTTTTCTAGCATTCGGTTGATATCTTCGCGGTTATCTTTTTTAGCATAATATTTTTTTTGGGACTTTTGATCCAATTAAAGGCAAATTCATATATATATCACATACACAAATTTCAAACTCAAATCCTCTTGACTGATAGCTAAAACTCTCAACCAATAGTTTAATGAGCTGTGTGCACAACAGGCTAACTCGCTTGCTTTTTAACTCTTACAATTGTCTTCCATTAAGTTTTCCTCGTTCTTATCGCATTTGTCAAACATGTAATTGATTTCTTATTACTTTGAACATGTTATTCAAAATTTAATAATCATGAATCATATTGATTAGACCTATTGCTGATGTTGAATTTTTAAGGTTCATTTAGTTTCTTGAAGTTATAGAATAAATTTTGAATGCAGATAGAAATTAATATATTGATTTTAAATTCCACAAGTTTATTGTAATGTTCTTCAAATATACTAATTTCATTCGTGAACGATTATGAAATCTTCCTTTTTCCTTGTTTTCTAGCTAAAGAAGCAAAATGAGACATCTAGGAGCAAAATTCTTTTAGGAGCAAAGTTATTGATTTCGGGGTTATCATATACTTTCACATATTTCCCTACCTCTGAAGTAATCTTCACCATCATAGAACTTTGAGGGAAGAGTACACGGGACACTGATTATATCATGTAGGAAAAAGAATAGATAAACAGGTAGATGCATATGCTCTCTCATACGAGAAATTATTCTGTGCGGACATCAGACCGTCCGAAGGCGAATCAGAGCATGTCATATCACTCGGTACACATCGATACACAGTTGATTGCATCATGTAGGAAAAAAAAAGATAAACAGGTATATGCATATGCTCTCCATACGAGAAATTATTATGTGCCGACATCGGACCGTCTGAAGGCGAATCAGAGCGCGTCATGTCACCCGGTACATAGCGATATATAGCCTCATTAAACAACAACTGAATGATTTGGTGCGTCCTGATTTGCCTCTTGATGATGTCCATATCAGCACAGAATAATTTCACCTCTCATACACGCCACAGACAATAACTAATATACGTCTTTGCATATTTACACAAGCTGGTGTCAGTCGTGAAAGGCCAGAAATCCTTATCATGCATATCGCTTTTAGCCAAACTGAGTCGGATAATCTTCTCACTTACAGCTGCCTTTGTATTAGTTTTTAGTTTGTTTTTTTTAATAGAAAAAGTAACCAGCGAAAAATTGAAGCAATTTTATGTTATTTTTTTTGCCTGAATGAAGAAAATTCTACTTACAAAAGTAAAATAAAAATTATGGTTGAAAAAAAAAAAAGTTGTATATACTGATGATAACGAAAGCTTTTTAAATGATATAAAACTGGCATTTAAACCAATTGCTTAGAATATGTTTCTTGTGCTTTTATAAATTGTGAAAATTATTTATGATCAATAATTAAGGGTATCTCCAACTAAACTGTAAATGTCTATTTGCAGTTGCCGCTATTGTAACATCATTCAGGGCATCTCCAATCGACTCCAAATGTTTGAATGACGCTCCTAGCCAGCTCCAGTCGAATTGCAAAATTTTTTGCTATTTGGCTGCAAGTAAACAGTGGGACACCAATATTGGCGTTGCGCTGTTTATCTCCGCCATTTTTACCTCTACCGAACTTGCCGCGGGAAAGAAGAGGCGACTGTTACCTGTAAAAAGGGTGAAAAATGACATTCGATTGGAGATGAATCACGGCATTTTGTAGTTTCACGACATTTTGGAATGAAAAATGAGATTTTCGGTTGGAGATGCTCTCAAGGGCTTCTTTTGCCGTTGTGAATAGTGCAATTCAAATATTGGCATTACATTATTTATCAATGTTTTTTTTAATTATAAAATTATCTTAAAATTATTAAAATTAAAAATTTTAATCTGAAATATATTATTTTAACTTACGTTATTAATTTTCTAATTTTAATATTTTTATTTTTTAATATT